TTACATGTTCAAAACAATGGTTTTTGACAACTCATACGTGTGAGCAGATTGAAAGCATTAATTAAATTTAAACCATTATTAAAAAGGTATCAGCTTGCAGTTGTTTCGTTTCCTAGGATTTCGCAAAATAAGAAACTGTTTGGATTCAACCCAACCCGATTTGCAATCACGATTTGCAGGTTTTACAGGATTTACAGGAAAAGCTGGTTTCGCCATTAATAAATCTTATGAAAGGTGGTGGTGAGTTAATCATATATTAAGTACACTGAGAAGATGACAATAAGAGATAATCTTTTGATTATAATTAAACATCCACTGAGAAATCTGCTGTCAGTATTTCAAACTTAAGACGACTACTGCTACGGTGCAATGTAAGTTCTAAAAATTTGGTAAAAGTGCAAACTACCGACTCTTGGATATGATATATGTAGCTTTACTTTGATTTTTGATGTTCGACCACCTGTAATTTTACTTGCACATACACATTTAACACTATTGAATTTTATTCGTACTCCAAAATTCGTTTAGCGATAATTCGGTAATATACCTTTTAGTCAACATTTTAATGTGAAATGCTGTATTTAATAAGCACGCCAACTAAATATGTTTTAAATTTGTCAAATATGCAAACAGGTTCTGACTCGAGCTCGTCTTCTACTGAAACTGAATGGGCTAAATTTTTTTTTTTTAATTTTCACAATTTTTATAAATTTTCTAGAAAGTTTGAGACTTCAACTCACATGTCTTTTGTTATAGATTTAACTATATTTTTATAAAAAATTTAAATTAAGTAAGGAAAGATAAAATTTTCAAAACCTGTCAATACATTTTACTACTATTTTCCTGAGCATAGCTGTACATACATACGTAATACCTTTGATTTGTTTTAAAGTAATGAATTTTTATCTTGATAATGCTACATGTATTTAAAAGTCTATTGGTTATTTTTTGTTAAATTAATGCGCTATTTTATTGTTGTGGTTATGTTGTTATATTGTTAATAATAAAAAATACGCTTAAAAATGAGCTGACTTTTTTGGCTTTGTACTGATTTTTGATCCCAACTGTACTGATTATGTCACTATAATATCTGGCCACCCTATATGTGTCAGATGAAAATAGAAACATTTCTATTTCGTATATACATACGTGCATCTGCTGATTGAATCAATTGAGTGTGCATTCTCATTTTTTTCGTTTCAAAAGTGTGATTGTTTGATTTAAAAAGTTTAACAACCCTCTTGAGATTGGTTACAAATTGTAAACACAGAATATGTAGTGTGTTATGAAATGGTTGACATCCATTCACATAGAGAATGTGAATGAAAAAAAACTCAATTATGTATGATTCTACGTTTATGGGAATGCAATCTGTCATTATCTATTGTTGTATTTGTTGTATCTATTTGTTGTATCAGGGTTGAGATTTTTGTACTCAAAATGTGAAACCGGAAGATTGCCATCTCCCTTAAAATAAGTAAACAAATAAATATTTGGTGCTAAAATATTTTTCTAAGTATTTGGCCGAGCTTCTGCTCAACCTTGAGGTATGAGTTCTGTTGTTCTGGCACAAATGGAGACACCTATGTACATATTTAAGGCTCACTCAGAATACCAAATGATTTTATAAGAAGAGTTTTCAAGGCAGAAATATACTCGAAGGTTTGCCATTGCGTGCCGAAGGACGACTGCTATTTTGGTTATGATCTGACCAGATATTTAACCATGGTCCTATGGAGTGGAAGTACGCACATGTAATCACTCTGCTACGGCGTATCAAGAAAATGCAAAACCGCGTAATTGCATAAATTATTTTCTAGAGAGTAAAATCACCCATATTTCAAAATGGTTCTCTTTTTTATAAAGCAAACGTATTTCTGGGTAGTATATTTCAGGACAAATTGATAAGAATTGAGCCAATAACTTTTGTGAGCAAATCCAATTTTTGGCAAGAAATGTCAGTTACGAGGTTTTGCAGAATGACGATACGTGGTTTTGTACTTTAAACGACGATATGTAAGTATACATATTAGATTATTTGTTCCCAAAATGCATGAAAACTAGCAAACCAAGACCCCTCTTCCCACTGGTGGTTACATAATACTTGAATAGCCCCTTAATTAACATGTGCTTGGTTTATGCACGCACGGCCAGTTAAACAGGCATGTCTGAATCGATTTCCTTCATCATTCTTAGTAATTTGATGTGCATTTTTATTGTTATGTATTGCAAACAGACATTTTATGAACTAAATATGTTCTAAAATCTCTGTACACAAGTGCACTTATTTTTAACAGTTTCCAGTTAATGTAATATTAATCAAAACAGCTTTTATTTATTTTATGTATTATGTGATTTCTGGAATACAAAAAAGGGCTGTGACTGGGTTTATGTAATTTGAAATTGTATTGATGATTACTAATAATAATAGAAAGGCGCTTACATATCGATGGCCCTCTGCAATAACGACACAACTCAAAATTTCATATATTTCAGTAGAGCCAATTAAAGATTTTTTGTTTCGTAATTTAGCAATAATATGTCTTGGAACATAATTATTCCGGATTATTTGCAGTCATACTGTAAGCTTTCAAATTATGTCTTTTTCTAAAGCTGAAATTTTGAATTGTGCCATTATTGCAGAGGACCATCGACTTATGGTAGTGTTTGGCCGAGCTACTCCTCCGATTGTGGCATGCGCCTTGATGTTGTCGCACAAAGGGGAGGGACCTACAGTTTTACGCCGACTCCTGCCGGGGCCCGACCAATATTACAATAAACATTTTCTTTTTTTATGTTGGCCGGAACTGGGCTCGAACCCTCACCCTGCGGAATGGTAGTGCGCACTTCTAACTACTACACCACAGCGATCGCTTAATTAATTTTAATCATTAATCGCGATTAACCATTTATTCGTTAATTTTTAATCATTCATAGACTAACATTTTGTCGACAATACTCGCATAAGATAGTCCCAAATTTTAACAAAAGAGAAAAGTTATTTTCTTCAAAACTTTTGAATGACGTCTTGACTGAACTTACTAATTCGGAATTTCTACTATTACTTATAGAGTAGGCTATTAATAAAGTCTGGGTAATGAAAAAAAAATTGTTTATTATATGTTCCATAAATATTAGGAGACTTTTATTGTTTAATTTATTTTTATAGGATGTACAGCAATTTTCTAAAAAGGTCTCTTAATAGATTAGTTCATGAAAATTATTCCAAACGAAAACTTAAAATTGATAAAAGTATCTTAACTAAATTTAACTAATTTATATTAGAAGTTTTAAGTTTATCCCACTGTAAGTGTGAAATCAGTTGCTATGTGTTTCCATGATACAAAAAACCACTTGACAATTAAGCATATTGTAAAATTTCATGCTACCATAGCAAAAATTTTATTATTAATTTTTCGTTAGTTTAAAAACATTTTATTCTTAGAAACGAAAATTTTACCAAGCAAAATGTCTTTTGTTTTTTAAATAAATGAGGCTAATGCTCAATAAGTTGATAATTGTTGTTCTCATTTGCATACTTCACACCAACTCCAATATTGAACAGTGAACTATATTTTAATTTTACCCAAATACGCAGAGAAAATGATTCAGGTAAAACCCATGTATTCAAACCAAATTGTAAAACAAACATTTTTGAAACAATTTTACTTCATACAAAATTCAAAATACACTACTTGTATAACATACTTTAAAACGTAATCTTCGCAAAATAAGAACGAACAGTATATCATATTTTGTCTTTCGACTGAGGAGAACATTTGAAATGAAAAAATTACGCCAAAAATGTGCCGTGAAACGTTTTAGAATATTGTTCCTACAAATTGTAGTGCGACAAAATTTCCAACCAGAAAAGTAAAACGAAACACTTTTAAAATAAAAATGAAAATTTCGTTTCAGTCAATTAAACATGAGAATGGTTTAAAACGAAAACGTTTAGTATTAGAATTTTCAAAGCTACTTATAAAACTGAACTACTTTTCATCTGTTTGCATTATTTGTCGGAAAAATTTTGTGCTGATGATTCAAGCTACATTCATACATATGTATATACATAGCAAAAATGCGGAAATATGATATCGTTACGCCACTTAATGAAAGGAACGTTGCTGATACGGTACCCTTTTTTGATTAGAGAAAAGCTTTGGTAAGACTTTTTTATTTATTTATTTATTTATTTATTTATCATCAGTGAATACTTATTTTCATACTGACTACTAAGAAACTATCTAACTACTAATTATTATTAAGGTAGCTTAAGAGGATATTATTTAATATCCCTCCAGAAAGTGAGAGGTCAATATCAATAACTCGATTGATTTGATTAAGCTCACTAAGAGCTCGACTGATAGGAGCATTTATGGCATAATTAGATTTAACTCTATACAAATAGAATATGTCGAAGTGACGCAAGTTCCTAGTAGGGATATTGAGAGGTATCCTACTTAGAATATCAGGACAGTCCATATCTCCAGTTATGACTTTTATTATGAAGGAACAAGAGAGATATTTTCTTCTATTATCAAGTGATTCTAATCTTAAGAGTAGACATCGCGAGGTATAAGAAGGCAAAGGTTGTGTGAAATTTAAAGATCGCAGTGCAAATTTAATAAAAATCTTTTGAATACGCTCGATTCTATTTATATATGATACCTGGGCAGGCCGCCAGATAAAGGCAGCATATTCTAAACGGGACCTAACAAAGGCAATAAACAATTTCTTATGTGTATACGGATCCAAGAAATCTGAGCTGTTTCGACGAACGAATGCTAACATAGAGTAAGAATTTGCCACTATAAAATTTATGTGGCTTGCAAACGTGAGTTTTGAGTCAAAATATACTCCTAAATCTTTAACCGTGTTCACCGTCTTCAGTTGAGAACCCGCAATAGAATAAGTAGTATTTACAGTAACTTGCTTACAAAAACAAATTCTAATCGGTTGTTTAATAATAATTGTAAATTTTTCTATTTATATTACAGCATCTAACCAGCGTTAATCAAAATTATCAAGGCCCATGGAGGAAAAGTCAAAATATGTACATATCTTTCAGTTATTGTCTGCTTGTGTACATATATCAATAAATGTATGACAATGTATAGATTTAAATATCAAATGACTTTGTGTTTTAATCAAAATAGAAATTCAAAATCATATTTGAAAACGCATATTTTGGTATATAAAATAAAAATTTTAGAATCTTATCTGAACATGAGAATTTCCACTTATCAAACGGTCGTTTTAAAAAGAGATTTGAAAATGTTCATTTTAAAAACTAAAATATACATTTTAGAATATGAATTGAGGATGTTTTTTTCTCAAAACTAAAATAAATATTGTAGGTGCAAAACCTGGGTCAAAACGTTTTTAAAAATAAAACGTTCCATACAAATTTGGAAACGTAAATTTCTCTGTGTAGTAGGAAATATATTATAGGCTCTTATTATACCCAACGAATTTTTCAAATCGCTTTCAACCGTTACTGTATATTGAACAAATTTAAGCCTTTAAGACATTACGACGTCTAACACGAATTGTGAATCCCCTAAATATGCATTAAATTACGCATCAAAATTTGTAATTTCAGTGTTCGAATTATATCAGAAACAATCGCACCCGATATAGAAAACTGTAATAGTCGTGGCATCGTGAAATAATCAGCTGGCATAAAGACACTAAATATTTTTAAAATATGTTCACTTAAATTTTATTAACCTACATGTAAAATTTTTGCGAAGTGTTTCTTGAATTTAATGTAAAATTTAAACATTTTTAATATAAAATATTAACAATTTTAAAAGGTATATGTTAATACAAGTGATATATATAATCCCAAATTTATGATATAAAATACTCTCTATCAAAAAACTTAATTTGGGTAACACCGCTTCGAATTTACAATTGAGCAATTGTCAAAAATCTGCCTTTTTATCAAAAAGTTGCTTACCAGGGTGTTTTTGAACTAATGATTGGTACTGAATTAAAGAATGCACACACATAAAAGATTACAGCCTTTTCAATACTCACTCAGTGTTAAACCTTTTTTTGATTTGGCATTGGTGTTTTCAATCTTGCTATGAATATATGGATGTGTGAATTCATAGCTGCTTTGAGCGAATGGAAAATTTAAAAATTATAAACCTCGATCATAAGCGAGGAATAAGTAATGAAAACTGAAAAGAAAAAAAATTGTTGATTTAAAATTGAAAATGATTTCACACTTACACAGCTCTAATTTGCCTTTACACGATATGTTGGCATTTCCATATGTAAAAAGTGGCATGTACACATGCATGGGGCTGAGAACGAAATCGTGTGCGGTTAAACGCTTTAGCTCGCAGTTGGACTTCGATGTTTTCGTGATTGTTGAAACGTGGTTAAACAATGATTTTTTTGACTCCGAATTTTTTGACCCAAATCTGTTCGTTGTCTTTCGTAAGGATAGAGATTCCATCAAAACGAGTCGCTCAAGGGGGGGTGTCTTGATTGCGGTGCAACGCAAGTATCGCGCTTCGTTAATTACATTGGATAACGAAGATACCCTACTCGACCAGCTGTGTGTTAGTGTAAGTGGCTCTAATCTTACTGATAAATTATTTATAGTTGCCTCATATATTCCTCCAAATAGTGTTGATAGTCTCTGCAGAGCTCACTCAGATAATATTGTATCATTAGTTACTGGAAAATTAGGTGATAATCATATTTGTATTTTAAAGGTTTTTAATCTTAGCAACCTTAATTGGTCGCAAAGTTACTGTAATTCGGGTCTTACACCTACTAATCTCTCAACTATTTGTGAATCTTATTTTATTGATAATATTTTAAGCCTTAACTTGCTGCAAATTAACACATTTAAAAACAAGCTCGATAGATTGTTGGATCTAATCTTTGTTAGTGACAATATAAATTTTAATCTGTCTAAATGTTGCTCTCCCGTCACGTCCTCGGATATGCATCATGTTCGTGTTCCTTTGGTTCTTAATGTAGAATTTTATGAGTTCACCTCTGGAACTTTAGTAGATAAAATTGCCTTCAACTTTAAACGGTGTGATTTTGCAAGCCTGGATAGTTTATTTGCCGAGTTTAGTTGGGAAGAGCAGCTTTCAGGCACTGATGTCGCCGAGTGCTATGATTCTTTCAGGTCAGTGGTGTATAATACATGCTTACTCAATATTCCTACTATTAAAAGTAAGCCCTATAAACTCCCCTGGTATACTAAAAGGCTAAAAAAAGTTAAAAACCTTAGAAACAAATATTTTAAGAAGTTTAGATTAACTAATAACCAAGTTTTCTATGAAAAATATCGCCAATATCTGAAGAAATTTAACTGTTTGGATAAATTCTTGTATAGAAACTATATTCTTAGGTTCGACATCAATATTAAGTCTGATCCGAAGGCCTTCTGGAACTTCGTCAAGTCGAAAAAAGCGTGTTCCACAATTCCATCATCAGTCGTCTTCAGCGGAAAATCTGCATGTTCTCCACATGATGCTGCAAACCTCTTTGCTGATTTTTTTAAATCTAATTTTATTTCAGATGACGATTTTTCTATCAATAACCAAACATTGAATCCGAATTCCGCACTCTGTTTTGGTTCGGTTGCACTTACTTCTGATGATATCTTAAAAGGAATTTCGAAGCTCAAAAACTCATCGCAAACGCACTTTGATGGTCTCTCGGATCCTTTATTCAAAAGTTGTCCCGCTCTGGTACTTCCGTTGAAAATGATCTTCAATAAATCTTTGTATTTTGGGAAATTCATTGATGCCTGGAAACTGGCTTCACTAACCCCTATATTTAAAAATTGCAACAAGAATGATGTTAGCAATTATAGACCTCTCGAAACTCACAAATGTATCTAAGCTCTTTGCAATTGTCGTCAAAGATAAAATGTATTTCTCAGTTAAGAGTTTAATTAGCCAAAATCAACATGGGTTTGTAGCGGGTCGTTCCACTGTTACAAATCTGGCAGTCTTTAGCGAATATTGCATCTCAGCATTTTCAAGTTGATTGCATCTACACCGACTTTTCGAAAGCCTTCGACAAAGTTTCGCACATGGTGTTGATTGGCAAACTCGCATGCCTTGGCTTCCACTCAACCTTTCTGCAATGGCTCAAGTCATCTTGTATCGACGGCGGTGTGTTGTAACTGTGGATAACGCGCAATCAGAACCTTTTTTCGTTACTTCCGGAGTTCCACAAGGTAGTGTTCTAGGTCCCTTGCTTTTTATATTATTTATAAATGACATCGGTTCTTGCTTTTCTCTTGCTAATTTTTTTTTTATATGCAGAAGACTTGAAGATTTATTCAACTGTTCAGAATTCTCCTGACATGAAAAAGCTCCAATCCGAGTTGGATAACTTTTATTTGTGGTGCTTAAGATTTCATCTTTCATTAAATATTAACAAATGCTTTTACGTATCATTTTCAAAATCGCGAAATTTATTAATAACTCGGTATAGTTTATCTGAGTGTAGTCTGCAGTCAGTTAACGAAATCAAGGACCTTGGTGTTATCTTTGACAGCAAATTTTCATTTAGCAGCCATATTAATTTTATTATATCGAAAGCATATGCTATGCTTGGCTTTGTGCGGCGGAATAGCACTGAATTTTCCGATCCGTACACTTTAAAACTGCTATATACCTCTTTCGTACGTTCTCACCTGGAGTATGCAGCAATAATCTGGCGTCCGTTCCACCAGTTCCATATCAATAGGATTGAACGCGTTCAGAAAGTGTTTCTCAAATTTGCCTTACGATCACTACGCTTTTCTGAGCTCATGCCCTCATATAATGCGCGCTTATCGCTGCTCAATCTAAAATCGTTAGATAAAAGGTCAACATTTCTCTAACTTTCATTTTTTGCATTATCCAAGGATCTTGTGACTGTCCGCAGCTTTTGGGTAGAATAAATTTTAATGTACCGAGGAGGTATCTGCGTGCTTCCCTGCCTTTTTATGCTGAAAATTTCAGAACGAATTATGCCCGTAATGCACCCATTGGCCGTGCAATTTGCGAATTTAACCAGATCTCAACTTCTATCGACCTTGATTTTTCTCTACCTAAGTCAATTTTTATCAATATTCTTAATTTGATGCCCTAGTTTAAGCTTGATTGTTAAATAGTCTGTAAGAAATTATGCTTTCATAGACTGATTGTTAAATAAATAAATAAATAAATAAATAAATACATATCGTGTAAGAACATCTTAAGTAGCTTTTTTCTAAAATTTGACACTCTCACCTAGGGATGTTCCGATACAAGTAAATACGAGTACGTACTCGATACTTTTGTTTCGATACCAACTACTTTCTTTACTCGAATCATTGTTTCGATTCATACTTGGTATCGAAAGAAAAGTACTTTATCGAATCGATTTGAGCAAGTGCCATATCTTGTCAGTGTCGTTTTTATGAAAAATAATTGCTTTAAGCAATGACATCGCCAAAACCTAAAGTATGGATATATTTTTACAAAATTACTGATACCACAGCAAAGTGCAAGCAATGCTTTAAAACCGTAAAGTTTTGTGGGAACCTTTCAAAGGTTGAAATTGCTGTCTATTCTGCGCTGGTAACATAAATTGTGTAACCGGTAATTAAAGTGTCTGTCAATTTTTAAACCTTTTTCGCATTATGTGCGCTCTTGTAACCGGTAAATTTGGTTACCATCTCATGAGCTGGTAACAAAATATTGCATATTGGAATATGCAATACAAGAATTTCCACAAATCTTCATAGCTGAATTGCTGAATATTTCCAACGTACCTAGAATCGCGGTGACAAGAAGTTGTAACATTTTTTGGTAATACAATTTTCCGGTCACAAAATCTTCGGTATCGTAATAACAGAATAGACCTGTTAGTAATGAATAAATATACATATCGTTACTAATGACGAAATATAAATATCGACACCTTAGTGGAAGAACGATCTATCTCGGCAGCCAGTTCGAAAACGCCCTATCTCAGAAAACTTTTCAAGAACGCCCTATTTCAGAATTTGGTTCAAAAACGTCCTATCTCAACTGAAAATACATATATTGAAAAAATGTTGAGATAGGGCGTTTTTGAACCGAATTATAAAATAGGATGTTCTTGTAAAGTTTTCAGATA